GTGACTTTTTGAATTTTAAAAAAATTCAGTGATAATTTCCTTAGTTAAACTTGACGTCATTAAATGGTAAAAATTTGCTTGTCCGTGGAATAATAAATAGTTTATAATAAATAATAATAACAATAAATTTATAATAAATAAATAAATAATAAATTTTTAATAAATAAATAATAATAAATAATAATTTATAATAAATAAATAATAATAAATAATTTCTAATAAATAAATAATAATTTATAACANAATTTACAATAAATAATTTCTAATAAATTTATAATAAATAATAATTTATAACAAATTTACAATAAATAATTTCTAATAAATAATTTCAGAAGCCAATGATATTACAAAATTTGCTTGCCCAAGGAATAATGAATAATTTATCTCAAAAGCCAATTATTTATTTTCTGCCTTTTATTTATTATCTGCCTTATTATATCCGCGATTATTCCAAGGATACGCTGTTTTATGCATTTTGTACGTATCATTAAATAAAACCTACATTAAGAATTCATTTCAGCTTTAAAAGGACGGTTTTATCAAATTTTCCTTCGGTTTCTTCGCTTTCGATATATTCAAAACAGGTTTTAATCGGTTTTCCAACCACACGGCCTAGAGAAAAATACATTTTCTATCTTTTTTTTTTTTTTTTACGTTTTTGGTGCATTATAGTGCATAAACAGTTGGACACTTACAATTTCATTAGAAGCTTGATATTTTTTTATAATTTTCATATTCATTTTTGATAAATAGTTAATGCTTGACAAAGTCCGTATCTTCTTTTATATTTTATATTTTAATCGTTCCAAAATTTCAACAATAAACAGATATACTTAAAGTCACTCAGCAGAGTCTTCAGCCACCTAACTATTACATTTATTTGGCCTTTTTATCAACTTTTTATTCCATTAGCTGTACATGTTTATACGATTATTAAATCAAAGGGAAAATTCACTTGAACTTAACATTCCAACAATTCAGAAATGTCCAAATACTCACGCACGTATAGTATACTCATCGTCGTGAATTCCAAAATTAATACGCGTTCTTATCTCTGGTACTAACGTGTCATTGCAAGTTTCAGAGCACGTCCAATAACAAAAAAAAAAGGTTAGTTTACCGTGTCTTCGAAATGTATTATACAGGGTGAGTCTCGTAACGTGATCACATCAAATAACTCATAAAATATTTGTTGTACGAAAAAATGTTTCAGATAGAAGTTGCATGGCTTCCAGGGGGACATATAGTACTGTAATCAATTTTATGTCATTTTGCTTTTTGATCAAAATATAAAGGTCACCTTCAATCTTTTAAATGGAATCGTTAATATTTCATTCCGAATTCGGACAAAGCGTTGAACTCGGAACATAAAAAAAGTATTACATCAAAATGGGTCTAAAATACATAGTTGCTGAGATTAACGGTCTTCTCCAATACAATATGAAAAAATATTTCTGCTATCTCAGTAACTATGTATTTTAGACCCTATTTTGGGGTAATACTTTTTTACGTAGAATTCAATTCAGTTCCATTTGAAAAATTGAAGGTGACATTCATACCTTGATAAAAGAAAAAAAGCAAAATAACATGAAACTGATTAAAATACTCTATGCCCACCTGGAAGCCATGCAAATATTTCACGAGTTATCACGAGACTCACCCTGTATATTCCACGCGATTCTGTCTCGAACATGTCATAAAAGTCAACACCAAAGATATCAACATCCTGCCTTACGTGCTCCTAAAAAATTTTCAGCCACACCCTATACGACGAAACCCAAAATCCAGAACTCAAACATAATCCCCCCCCCCCCTCCCCCGTCCCCCCGTGATTTCTCTTTCATTTCCTTCGAGAACCAAGGAGAACCAGCACATTCTCCACGCCCGAAAAATTCCACTCTCTTTTCCTCTGAACTCTCTACGAGCCTGCAAAGTCTTCGGCGGCACTGGCTTGCGAGCAGGTGACGCGAGAGAACAGGAAGAAAAGCAGAAGGAGGGTGGTTCGCTGGTGCAAGTGCGCGTGTCCAGGGGCGGCGTCGCCACCCGCGTTGGGAAACGGCGGCGGCGGCAGCGGCGTCGGGACGCGGTGCTAGTCGCAACACGGATGCGACCCAGTGCTCGTGTTTACGGCGTGGAGGATCGCTGCCGGGAGGAAGATGAGCCTGGAGCTGGGGGAAGTAAGTACCAATGGGGTGGTTAGAAGGGGGAGGTGGAGGATGCGTGGCCGCCACGCGTATAACGTCCCCGATTCAACGTCCCGTGGGCGTTGGACGACGATCGATCCGCCATCCGCCGCCGACACTGGGATGCTACCCGTGGTGGAAAAACACCAAACGATCGCGTGTCGGCAGCATCTCGCCGATGAGATATCCCTGGGAGTCGCGCCCTGTCTCTGTCCCGGGTCCGAAACCAGCTGGAATTTCGATCGAACGTTTGATCGAAAGTTCAGGACGGTGGCGGAGAGGCGGAGAGAATCGACGAGGGTGACGTTTTGTAAGCGTGGAGGACGAGGAGCTCACGCGAGAGATTGGCGAATATGGATGATGTACGAGTGAGTTTGCGAACGACTCCGAGAGAATGGTCGCGTAAATGATGGTGGCAAGGGTTTGGAAACTCTGCAAGCAGTGACGCGGTGGGTGAATTTAAGGGAGGTCGTTTTTTTTAAGTCTGATCTGACGTATCTCTGATTGAGAGATTTTTACCAATTGCGCGGACCATAACGAGTGACCGAATCGTACACGATGATTCGTCGCTTACTTTTTGAACTGGTCGCTGGATAGAAATTATAAATTTATTATTTGCTTCGCCTGGGTTTATACTTCAATATATAATACTACTCAAACCTGAGAAAGTATTGCAATTTTGGGACAAAAAATTCTCGACGCAAGAGGCGAAGTTGAACAATAATTGCGTAATGGTGAGGTTTGGCAACTTTTGGGCAAAAATGGTGATCGAGAAGGGTGAATGTGTGCAAAAGGTGAGGAATTATCTTATGATAGATAGCTGATTCTGTATTTAGATTTGGATATTTGTCGAGGACAATGATTCTGAATATGTTTGATGGATAGCTGATTCTGTATTTAGATTTGAATACTTCGTCGACGACAATTATTCTGAATACGTTTGCAAGTGTGTGAATATATTATTACACACTTGCAAACGCTTTGTAAGAGAATACGAACGTCTGACGATGATGAAGTTTAAGAAATGTAGATCAAAAAGAGAAGAAGAGAATAGATTCGTCGGATGGGTGCTTTTCGTAATTCGAAGCTTTGGGTGTTATTTCGTCGACATTACAGAGATATCTGTTCACGTATTCGATGTGCTTCACCTACGTGAACTTTCTTCTATTTCTGTTTAACATTTCTTTCCATTTTCCCCTCTCATTTTTTTTTTTTTTTCTTTCTGATACCTCTGTTTCCACTGTTTTGGCCACACGGTCGTCACGGTTGCGACCCGATACTACGACTAAACACGAGGTCTATTAAAGTCAGCCACCCCCTCGAGCAAACTTCAATCTCCATTGACCAAACAAAATTTTTCATTCTTTCACCAACGTGTAGTAACTTTCTAGGAAATGAGGGATATGTGGGTCACGAAGCAGAGACAGATCGAAAGGGAAGTAAAGCAGCCTCGGAAGAGGTCTTACTAGGGCCACTTTCAACCCCTTCAACGCTCAAGCCCGTGTCTCTCGCGCGGCCAACCTTGCACAATGATTCTGTACACTCTCGCCAGAGATTTAAAGCAAACAACATTCAAAGAGCGAAGATCTATAGTTTTGTTCTAGCGGAGATCCAAATTTTACGTACAATTGGCCGTTTTTTAATTAATTTCAACGGTGCGTTAATAATCGGCGAAAGAGGCAAGTTTACTTAGAATTTGGAACAAAGGAAGTAAGAGGGAGAGAGCTTTGGTGAAAGATTGTAACGAAAATGAGAGAACGGTAGCTTACAAGATTAGTAAGTAATCTCATGTTGCTAGAAGAATTTTCCGAGATATGTATCAATAGATTTATATAGTAATTTATACTGTATAGTAAAAAAGTATATAGTAAAAAATATAAAGTAAAAAAGTATAGTAAAAGTATATAGTAGTTATATAGCAATTATATAAAAGTATATAAAAGTATACGAAGGTGTATGAAAGTTATATAGCAATTATATAAAAGTATATAAAAGTATATAAAGGTGTATAAAAGTTATATAGTAATTTATAGTACAAAAGTATGTAGTAATTATATAGTAATTAAAAGTATATAAAGGTATATATTATATAAAAGTATATAAAGGTATATAGAAGTTATATAGTAATTTATGGTAGAAAAGTATATAGTAGTTATATAAAAAGTATATAAAGGTATATAGAAGTTATATAGTAATTTATAGTAGAAAAGTATATAGTAGTTATATAAAAAGTATATAAAGGTATATAAAAGTTATATAGTAATTTATAGTACAAAAATATGTAGTAGTTATATAATAATTATATAAAAAGGTATATAAAAGTTATATAGTAATTTATAGTACAAAAATATGTAGTAGTTATATAATAATTATATAAAAAGGTATATAAAAGTTATATAGTAATTTATAGTACAAAAATATGTAGTAGTTATATAATAATTATATAAAAAGGTATATAAAAGTTATATAGTAATTATATAGCACAAAAGATTGACGATTAATTCATTGAAGCAAGATTCAAGACCCCACGACGACAGTGAATTCAATGTTTCACCACTGTCAGTCTTCCATCATCTCTTAATATAAATTGTAAGCTTCTCCCGTATTTTAACCTTGTACAACTTTCAACAAACAAATTTCCGACCAACTTCTTTCGCTCGTGCAAGTTGTACTCGTGTTCGCGGGTAGCTCCAGTGAAAACGAGAATAACGGGAAAAAAATATTGATAGGAGGGAAGAATCGTTGAACGGTCGGGGCCGAAAGGAAAAAGGGGAAACATGCGAAATGTTAAGGGGGTAAAACACATCGCGGTGGCCTCGCCGCGCTACTGTGGTGTTTTTCGTCGTCGCTTCTTACACCGTCGCACTACGCACGCCCCGGCCCCTAATCACTCACCCTCCGGTCTCTCGTTTTCCAGCCACTTGCAGCTGCGCAAAATCCTACGAGGAGCCGCGGAGCACACCCTGCTCTAGCTGCAGTTGGCAATGCGATCGCGAGCCATCGTAAACGCTTCTCCGATTTCTCCTCCTCCGTCGACGACGAGTTCCAGCCATCAATAAACACGCTTGATGTTTCCTCCTCGTCTCGCCGAGTAAATCACACGGCGAGCGACTCGATCCGAACTGGCCGCCGTGCTTTGAACAGATCGTTCGAAGCGATCGTTCGCTCGAATTTCTTTTGAAAAGAAAAAAGAAAAAAAAAAAAGAGACAAAGAAGACCGGGCGAGGAGGTCGAAGGTTGAATCGAGAGAACAGTGCACAGGCATCGCTCGTTATTCGCGACAATGAACGTCCGTCCCGTGGTAGCAGCGAGCAAGGAGTGGCCGCGACATTCGCCGAGTGGAAATTCGCTCGATCTTTGATTCTCGATGACGGACCGGCCCCGTTCTTTCGTTCTTTCGCGGTGATACGACACGTTCGCGTTGTCGCGGTCGTTGACAGTAGGCGAAGTGGATGGATTTCCTGGATAGGCCAGGCGAAGTGGAAATGAAGTGAAGATCGGGCAAGAAAATGGCACGCGCGACGGACACATCAGCTTACTTTGGGGATTCGTTTTCTAATTTGGTTCATCGTACCTTCGGATAGAAATCGTGTGGGTTACGATAGAATGAATCTCGGATGTAGAAGAGTTAAATGTTCCGATGCATTGGAAGGAGAATGGAAATAAGCTTCCCTTCTTTCATAAATATGTATAAAAATGTTGTACATTTTTGTTGTATGCACATTTGAACGTTAAATTCTATTAAATCAAAGGAATGTTTCACAGATCACGCCGTTCAAGCTTTTAATTTTAATCGTCTTCGGACGATTTTTCTTTATTTTCTCATTTTTTCTTCATCTTTTTCATTTTTGAGTTGTTTCTTTGCTTACAGAATTTTTTTGTTAACACGGAGATCTAAGTATAGTTTCCTTTTACACGTACTTCGTAAATCTCGATGGCATTAATTGTGTGCATTTTTTGTTTTTGTCATTTTCTAGGCGAAGTATGATACACGTGTCGTCGGAGAACACTCAACGATACGATCGTGTAAAGCGCAAGGGCGCAGCGTTTCTGTCGAACTTCTTTAAGTCGAAGAAGCTGACGTTAGGTATGAAGATCAACGAAGACGAAGAGATGGAACGTGCTCCGAAAGTCGAAACACCTGGTAAGTTGAAAAAAAAAAAAAAAAAGAAAACATAGAGTCTTTCGTAGAGAATGGGAATTCAGACAAGAGATTTTGAAATTCAGTCGTTTGTAGAATTTGAGACGAAGATGAAATTCTTATATGTTATATCCTGTATTTTATATGAAATATTATATATATAATATTTTATATATTATATATATAAATAAAATATTTATATATTATATTTTATAATATTTTATTTCATACTTGTCTAATATTTATATATATAATATTTTATATTTTTTAATATTTTATTTCATACTTGTCTAATACTTGTTCAACAACTTTTCGAAGTAATTTAAAATGCCCTTTCAGTTTTATAATTTTCTGATTAATACCTCCAAACGCATGTCTTAAAATAGTTCAAAATTTCAGTTCCTTCAAAATTGTCCTAACTAAATTAATTATAATAGTAACATTTATATTTATATATTTAACATATATAACATTTATATTTATATATTTAACATATATAACATTTATATTTATATATTTAACATATATAACATTTATATATTTAACATATATAACATTTATATTTTTATATAAATATTCTTACATTTTTATATTACAAGCAGTAATATTAATATTAATTAATCAATAAATTGAAAAAAAAGAGACTGCAGGACGTATGCAGATACGTGTCCAAAAGGACGACTAAAAATATTTTCAACTCCAAAAAGCGTAAAACTTTCGGTAAAAACCGGAGAATCAAAAGGCCAAGCCCAAAATGTACCAATATAAATTTTGCTCAATTGCTTCCTCTTGAATTCACTCGAAAAGCACTTTTTCACATGGAGACACGCGCGTAATGAAAAACTTTTGCACACACTATGCACTTTGCTCGTACGCACATACACGTCGAACTTAACGTTGACTTAAAATACAAACGAGACGAAAAAATATTTTTTTCTCTATCTTTTTCTTTCTTTGAGCAATCAGAAGGTAGACTCTACTAACGAATAAATCGGTGTATGTTTATATTTAACGATGTTAAAAGTGGAAAGTAAAAAAAGTGTTATTATATAATAATACAATAATAATACGTGCAAGATTGTAGACATACTTGATTGAAATGTCAAAGCGGTGCTCTGTGCAAGAATGCAATTCTCTTTATCCTTTTCTTTTCTTCTTATTTTTTCAATAACTATAGTCACGAAGAGGTTCGCGATGAAATTTTTTAAAAAAGAAGAAATCCATCGCTGAAAGATTTAATGTGTTGCACTGTTAGGTACAAATTAATATTAATATACGAGCTAAATTTTCTTCTTGAATATACCTATGTACGAATGTAGCTTTCGAATAATAATAATAATAGGTAATTGCTCGTTTGAGTGCAGTGGATAGGTCCATTTTTCGGCGCGTATTTAAATCGAATGATATGTTACTATCAATCGAACAATCACGTTTTATTTCTCATATCTTCGTTGTGCAATGACTGGACTGTCGATTTTTATGGATGCAAGATTTGAGGGTGCAAAAATGCAGAGAGAGTAAAAATATATATACATACAGGGTGTCTCCGAGATCGTGATACCAAAAAAAAAAGGGTGATTTTATATGAAAAAATGAACAATAAAATTTCGAGGATATCGAGTTTGAAGGTCTATTAAATATACGTGAACTTCGCTAATTTCAGATTTGAAAGGAAAAAATTAATTAATAAGATTAATTCTGAAACAAGTCGAAAATGTGGAGTAAAATTTTTTTGTAGGATGCTTCCATTTTTGAAAAAATGGTATCTGAGAAATTATTACCGAGATTTCACAATGAAACACATTCAAAGTCTAGTTTGTTTGCATGTTTGACTTGTTTTTGCATGTAGAGAAATCTTCGGTTCATTATGCAATTCAGAATCAGCTAGATTCAAGTATAGATAACTTGACTCAAAGTTGATTTTCTTGAAAACGAAGCTTTTTCCAGTGGAAAAATTTTATTCTTTTTTCTTTAGACTTAATTTTTTTCAATGTAAAATCACTCCGAATTTCCAGAGTGTGCCACGATTTGGAAACGAACTTTATATGAAATAGCAAATTAATTATTTTATCCCTTCATTAAAAATGAAGATCGTTCATTAGATGCTATGAACGAGATATCTCGTCGATATAACAGCGAAAGAGTTAAAATTGCCTATCCCTTTTAAAATTTTATTTCTAATGAACGATGTAGTCTACGAATTGATTTTTATTCAAATCACATACAAGATATACCAAATTCTTACGGTCAAACAACATTATTATTTCATTCATAGTTTCACACATCACTCGTCATAAACGGTACATTTCGTCTATAAGAGCGAAGAGATGAAATAATTAATAATTCGATATATTTTATATACAGAATGTTATCAAAATCATGATATAATCGAGAAATTTGAGGTGATTCTATATTTAAAAAAAAGTCTAAAAGAAAGAATAATATTTCTCATTTCAAGCTTCGTTTTCGAGAAAATCAAGTTTGACATTTATTAGACATTTACGACAGATATTTATTTATACTTGAATTAGCTGATTTTCAGCTGCATGAAATGAAATGAATAATTAACATTTCCTGCTTGCAAAATTAAATCAGAAATTAGTAGGAAAAAAAAAAAATATCTTGTCAGAGTATAAGAAATTGTACAAAATTCCGCTGTCTAACAACGATGTATGCAAATTTTAGGCTTTTATTAAACGAGTTCATGCAGACTTCGGGGAATTGAATTGTATGAATAGAGAAAAAAAAAAAAAAAAACGTAACGATGTTAAAAATAGATTGTGTAACATGGACATGGTTTGCAGCTTTCAATTGATAACAAATAACAAGCGCACGATAACAGGAATCGATACGCGTGTTCCAATTAACGATTGCCTAATAAATTCTACGTAGATTTTCTCTCATTTTATATTGAGTCATTAAAATGATTAAAAGAATACTGTTCCCTTCAAACAACGATAAAGTGGCAACGAAAATTAATTTTATTACACGTAGAAAAATTGTATCAATAAATTCTATGTCGATTTTCTTCCATTTTATATTGATTCATTAAAATCAACGAAGGATACTCACTGTTGCGAGTACACGTTGTGAGTGGCGATGAAATTAATTTTACTACAAAGTAGAAATTTGCGAAATTAATAATTAGGCACAGTGGTAACAAAAAACAAGAGAAAACAAGACGATAGAATGCAATGTTCGTGGATATTACATCACCTGCGCTATCGATTATCCTGAAAGCGGTGCCTCAGGTGAAAAAAGGCATTTCATTTTTGCAGCTTACCTTGTTAGGAACCACACCTCTCAATATCCCACCAGTTTCAGTGATCTCCTCACCAGATTTTCGATCTTGCAATTTATCAAGATCGCCTGTGAAACGCATTTAATCTTTCAATTAAGATAATTAAACAGATTGCGGATCTTTATGAATTTAGTAGGAAATTCAAAAAGCTGCAGAAATGCGCGATACGCAAAAATATAAAATATATAAAATATATAATTTTTATATAAATATAAAATGTATAAAATATATAATTTTTATATAAATATAATATGTATAAAATATATAATTTTTATATAAATATATAAAATATAATAATATTATATATAATATATAAAATTATAATATATATAATATTTTATATATTATATATATAATATATAAAATATATAAAATATCCGATGTAAAGTATTTATTGTAATATTTAATGTGAGGTAAATTTCCATTTAAATTCCACGTCTATAGTTGCGTTTATAAAAATATAAAAATGCATAAAACTTTGCAGCCCAATAATTAATAGTTCGATCGATAGGACATTTTAAGAAATGTTTCATGCATCCTATATTATTATCTTGTGTTAATTGCACTGTGAAACGTATATTTTGAACGATGAGTACACTTAGAACAATAATTGTTATGTTAACTTTTATAAAGACTATCATGAAATGTTGTCACGAATTTTCAAGAATCCAAGTCAGTATGCTTTTTCTATTTTAAGAATCAATCAAATTATACAAACGTAATTAAACGTTGTTCTATTAATGATAGGTAAGAAGTAACGTAGTTATTATAATTTCATTTATGATAATTGGATTGCAAATTTTTAAGAAAAGTTATATTTTTAAATATATAATTTGAAAACTAGGAAATCAATAGAAAATTATTTTGCATACCATTTTTAGGTGTTACAGAAATTGGTAAACTTTGAATAATATATTCATAAATATATATTATGAAATATATTAAAAATTAGAATATGTTCCATATGTATATTGTATTATACAGGGTGGTTCACGCAACTTGCACATCTGAAATAACTTTTAAATTATGCATCGAATAAAAAAATGTTTAATACAAAAATTGTATGGTTTTAAGGGAGGCAAAATATGGCGTATCATTTTTTGTGTGTGTTGAGGGGTTCCGAAATTTCCAAGTTCGTTTCTATTTTTTTTTAATTGAACCATATATATTTTTTATCATGAATCGAAAGAATATGAAATTTTAAAGTAAAAAAGTATTAAGTCACATTGGTTCATCACTTTTTTACTTGGAATTTGATATTCTTTCGAATTATGATGAAAAAGAT